CGGGGCCGGGGCGGGCGGGCGGCGTGAGTGGGAGGGACCGGGAGGAAGTCCCGGCGCTCGGCACCGGCTGGGGCCCGGCAGGAGGAGGGCTGGGGGCCGGGCCGTCCGGGGTGCGGGAGGGCTTGCGCCCTGGCTTCGCCCCGAGCGGCGGGGTGGGCGGCGGGGACGCGGGTCCCCTCCGAGCAGGAACGCGCGTCCTGGCAGCAGCGGGGACCCGACTGCCTGCTGGTGGGCGACAGGGAGCCCCTAGGCTGGGGCCGAGCCCGGGAAACAAAGCAGAAACGGCTGTTTCCTGCGGAGGGAACAGCACGCTGCAAAGTCTCTGAGCGTGGAAGGCAAGGGTGGAGGGCGTGTGTGTGTGTGTGTGTGTGTGCCCGCCCAAGGGAGGTTTGAGAGCCGAAGTCCCCGCTAGAAGCGACGGATGGGTCAGAATGCGTCTTCCAGCGGGACCTGGTGGCGCAGGCCTGTAATCCCCGCTCTAGGGAGGCTGAGGCAGGCAGGAGTACGTTTGAGGTCAAGCTTGGGCTCCATAGTAATTTTAAGACCAGCCTGAACTACTTGAAGAGACCCTGTCTCAAATCAAACGAGGCAGAAGGGTTCCAGGGACCAAGAAGGGTAGGCTGGTGACTGGTTTGGGCACAGTGTTAAGTAATTTAGACCAAAACCACGAACGCAAAAGCTCTGGAGAAAAAGCCAGGCCAACAGAGTGGAAGTTTTAAAAGACTGAGCTGCGGATTTCAGCGCCTGGAGGATGAATTTGGCTCTAAGATTTCTGGCAGTTTAGGAGCAAACAAAAATATGCTGGATTGCAGAATTTTGGATTGGGGACAACAGCAAGCATACAGATTAATTTTCAGAACAAAATTTTTCCTGGAATTGAACTCAGCTGGGAGTTTATCAGGGGAACTTTATGTAAAGACTAGAGTGACAGAAAAAACTGTCTTCATTGCATAAACAGAACAAAGATCTCTTCGCTGACCAAAGCTATCTTCACTGTTGTGCTGTTAGAAGGTGGAAGCACAAGTGACCCTCTTTCTGTACCATCTGCCTCTTAGGGTAAGGAGAGGGTGACAGCTGTCGTCCACGGTGTGGACTGTGGGGCCACAGGGCCCTGGAGGTCCTGCAGGGAGGACGCTGGCCTCACAAGGACAAGAAGAAGGGACATCTCCTTCCCTGTGTGTAGAAAGCGGAGTTCCCAGCCTGGCATGGTAGTATATGCCTGTCATCCAAGCACTCGAGAGAGGCTGAGGCAGGAGCATTCCGAGTTCGAGGCCAGTCTGTGCTTCATAGTGAGTTCCAGCAGAGCCTAAACTACATAGTGAGACCCAAAACACCCCCCACCAAAAAAAAAAAAAAAAAAGGCGAAGCATCCAGAATTACAGCTGGGCAGGGAAGGAGGCAGGGGGCCCTTGGCCTGCAGACTTGGCCTGCAGGTGGCTGGGCAGAGACAGAGGCTCCCTGCGCGAGAGGCCAAGCAGGGCACTTGCATTGCAAGAGCTGGTGCCTGGAAACCCTGGTGAGAGGGAGTAAGGGTGGCACTTAGGTTCCATTCAGCTAGGCCGGTCTCCGTTCTGCCCTGTTCTGGGCCTTCCAGGTGTGGATCCGATGTGGAGGGAGTGGGGTTTGGGAGGGCCAGAAACCCTCCCAGGGAGGATGGGGTGGGATGTGGCCATGTGGCTGAGGCCCTTTCTGGAGGAAGGAAGTGTGCGAGCTGAGAGCTGGGCTCCAGGGCCTTCCCAGCCTTCTGCAGATTCTCAGCCACACCTTGCTGAGGTGGCCTCCAAGCTTTACACTGTCCCTGCCAGCTTATTGTCTTTCTGTTGTTCGGAGACAAGGTCCTGCCCTGTGGCCCAGGCTGGCTTTGAATTTTTTTTTTTTTTTTTTTTTTTTTTGCCTTTTTCCTTTTTACCGGTACCAGGGATCGAACTCATGACTGCCTGTTTGCAAGGTGGGCGCTTATGCCGCTGAGCTAAATCCCCAGCCCGCTGGCTTTGAATTTAACAGTCCTCCTGCCTGAGCCTTCTGGGTACAGGCAGGTAACCACCATGCTTGGCCCCATCACATTTCCTAACACGTAATTTGGAATGCGCATTAGAATGTACATTTAAATGGTAGGAAGGGGGATTTTTAAAATAACTAATGCCTGAGCCTTACCCTTGATCAATTAAAGCAAAACCCTTGAGAGTGTGCCTTGAGCCTTGGTATTTTTTATTTTAACTTTTACTTACTCATTTTTAATTTAATCTTCACAATTTTACTTGGTAAGCATTTGTAGATCTTTGCTGGGTACTGTGGTACATGCCTGTAATCCCAGCACTGGCAGGATTTCAAGGTGAAGCCCAGCCTGAGGAAGAGACTTAGTAAGGCCTCATTTCAAGCCTGCCTGCACTTTGCCCCTGCACTGGCTGCTTGGATGCTGTCACAGGGCTGTGTCACAGATGGGCATGGAAACCTCAGCCTGGCGGGGATTGCTGGGCTGCTCCCTGGATGGAGCTACCAGGGCTGTTCCCCCGTGGTCTTGTGTCCCACAGTCTGTACTCTGGGTCCCCCTGTGTCACCTGTGCAGTCCCTGCTGAGGACCAGGGATAGGGATGGTGTCCCCAGCTGAGACTCCAGGGCCTCGCCAGCCTTGGCCCCTCTGCACTCAGAGCCTGTTGGCCTTGGGAGTCCTCAGGGATTCCAGCTGGAAGGCTGCAAGGCCACTGCATCCCCTTTAATAACATGAGGCTGGGGACAAACTCAGCAGTTTGTGGGGCAGGGGGAGTCTGAAAAATGCTGCAGTGTCACAAAGATGCTGCAGAATCACACTGCTGTTAAATCGGGCTCTGATCAGGACAGAGATTGATGCTGGCAACTCTCAGTGTACCTTGAGGTTAGGCCCTTTCCCAGCGGGGCAGGACTGTGGCTTTGTCCTTAACCGGACTCTGATACTTTGTTCTTGGCTTGCAACCCGAGGGACTAAAGGGAGCCCCCTTTTTAATCAGCTGACTGACTGGTAGGAGCCAGGTGAAAGGTTTTTTCTTCCGATCTTCAGTGGTCCTCCTGCCTCAGCCTCCCGAGCAGCTGAGTTAAGGTGCACAAGAGGCTGATGGCCAGGCAGAACAACCATAAAAATGATTGTTAATCAGTGTAAATGGCTGGACCTGGAGGGTCATGCAGGCCACACCTTGCAGCCACACTGGCAGCTGAGAATTACATACAGCCATCCGTTCCCCTTGGGCAGATTTGTCTGAGGAGGCACTGGTGACTTCACACTGTCTGTCTGTCTCCACAACTTCCTTAGGTCCCCTTGAGTCTGGGAAGTAGAGAAGGGCAAGGGGGTGAGCCACTGCTATGTACGAATGTCTCGTTCCTTCTCGGTGAGTTGGAGGAACTGGGGTACTTCTAGGTGTGGTGATGCCCATCAGCAATCACAGCTTCCAAGAGGCTCACTGTGCTCACTGTGCTATATAGCCAGACCCTGTGTCCAAAAAAATATTTTTGGTATCCGGAATTGAACTCATCACCTCATACTTGCCAGACAGACATTCAAAATTTGTTTTAAGGAGGGGAGCTGAGCCAGGCATGGTGGCACACATCTGTAATCCCAGCACTCTGGAGGCTGAGGCAGAGGGATTGCTGGGAATTTGAGCCCAACCTGGGCTACAAAGTGATCTCAAGGCCAGCCTGAACTGCATAGTGAAACCCTGTCTCAAAAAGAAAAAAACAAGTGGAGAGGGGCTGACTGCTACTGACCCTGTCCCTCCTAGCAAACAGAAGGATGAGAGCAGGACATTTCTGTCATTTATGTGTGCTTCTCCCATGGCTGGGAACTACAGACCGCCCTCTGCAGAGGGCCGTGTGTGACGGTCACTATCCCAGCTGCTGTGTGCGGCCAGGGGAGCAGTGGGTCGGGCGGAAGCAGGATGCTGAGTCTGGTTCCCACGGGGGCAGCCTGAGATGGCGCCTGCGCCTCGGGGGCTGAGGAAGAGGAGTCCTAGCCCCTCAGTCACCCACAAGCGCTTCCTGTCCCTGGAGACCCAGAGATGCCCTTGCCTTCTGCTCTGAGTTCAGGTGGGGTGTGCGGGTTCAGAGTGACCTGTGTGGTTGTCTGACCCGCAGGGTGGCTCTGGGTGTCTTCTTATCCTCTCCATCTGGTCTGTTTCATCGCCTGCGTTTGTGACACTCTGCAAACACACACAGGCTCCCAGGGCATCAAAGAGGGACCCGAGCCCTCTGTGTGCCCCTCTCTGGGTGGAACAAGGTCAGGGAGGGCAGAGCGGTGCCCTTTTGGAGCAGCTGCACTTGGGGGCCCAGCTCTGCCCAGCTGGCACCCAGGCCTCCTGCAGGGAGGGCAAGGGCCATGTGGCTGCCTGGAGCTGCACACGCAGCTCAGCTCGGGGTTTCTGGGTGCTGATTGAAGAAGAGAAGAGGATGCTACTTCCTGTAGAGAACCAACGCATCTGGAGGAGTCCCCTCCTCAGGCTCCTTCCCTGCATCCCTGGCGGTCTGGCTTCCATCCTCTCCGCTTCCTTTAGGTTTTTATTTTTTGTTTTTTGTGTACAGGAATTGAATTCAGGGTTTTGTGCCTGCCAGGCAGGCGCTTATGCTGTTGAGCTATATCCCCAGCCCCGCTTCCTTTGGTTTTCTTTCTTTTTCCGTTTTGTTATTTTTGTGTATGGTGACAGCCTCACTCTGTACTCCAAGCTGGCTTTGAACTCACTACGTAGTGCAGGCTGGGCTCAAACTCATGGAGATCCTCCTGCCTCAGCCCTTCCCACTTGGCCTTGGCTTCCCAACTTGACCTCTCCGGAGTGCTGCTTCTCCCCAACCCTGGGCTCCCATCCTGGAGCTGTGGGCCACACTTCCCCTATGTGAGAGTCCCGGAGCTGCTCTGCGCCTCCTTTATTCCCAAGGGTGCCACCCTTCTAAGACCAGAGTCACCTGGTACAGAGTTCCCCTCTCGGTTACCCAGTCCTCTAACCCCAGGTCTTTAATGAAGCTGATTAAAAGATTGAGCATTGTAGCGTACACCTGTATTCCCAGCACTTGGGAGGCTGAGGCAAGACGATCACCGCAAATTTGGACTATAAAGCAAGACCCTGCTCAAAAAAAAAAAAAAAAAAAAAAGTGTGAAATGAAAATATATAATGTCCAGGACATTATATAATGTCGGGCGGAAGCAGGATGCTGAGTCTGGTTCCCACGGGGGCAGCCTGAGATGGCGCCTGCGCCTCGGGGGCTGAGGAAGAGGAGTCCTAGCCCCTCAGTCACCCACAAGCGCTTCCTGTCCCTGGAGACCCAGAGATGCCCTTGCCTTCTGCTCTGAGTTCAGGTGGGGTGTTCTGCTTTATGGCATTTGGACAGAACCTGGGAACTCCCTGTCTCTCATTGTTTATTCTTTGATCTCTCCAGTCACAGCCCTGGAACCATCTTCTCACCCATCTGCTGCCTCTAGGATCCCAACAACAGCTATCTTTGGTGGGTGGCTCCTTACTGCTGACCAATGATGACCTCAGATTTGTGACAGTCATTCCACTGAGATGGGGACTGCGGTCATCTGCTGGTCAGTTTGCACCTCTGGCTTCCACACCTGCCTCTGGACTACGTTTCTTTCTTTCTTTCTTTCTTTTTTTTTTTTTTTTTGTCTTTTTGAGACAGGGTCTCGCTGTGTGGTTCAGGCTGGCCTTGGGCTCACTGTAGCCCTGGCTGGTCTCGAACTTACAATGCTCCTCCTGTCTTAGCCTCCTGAGTGCTAGGATTACCTAGCACTCAGGAGTGTACCACCACGCCCTACCCTTTTTTCAGTTTATTTATTTATTTATTTATTTGGTATGGGGATCAATCCCTGTGGCCCCCTTTGGTTTTTTTTGAGACAGGGTCTTACTATGTGTTTCAGGTTGACCTTGAACTCACTGTGTAGCCCAGCCTGGCCTTGAATTCTCGGTGATCCTCCTGCTTCAGCCTCCTGAGTGCTGAGATTGCAGGTGTGTACACCACTAGGCAGCTTTTTCACCTCTCTGGAGCCTCCTCCTAAGTCTTGGACCAAATGAACAGAAACTTTTTGCAGCCCTGTCTCCTCCCCTGCCCACACTACCCAGGAAGGCTGTGAAGCCACAGGTGCTATTTTCGCTTCTCTCCAGCCTGGCCACCTCAGGGTTCAGTCTGAAGCCCCAGCCCAGGTACACCGAGCCCTGCTGGGGCTGTTTCCCCAAGGGGCTTGCTGAGCTGGCTGCATTTGTAAAGGAGCCGCCCTGAGCACTGTGAAGGCCCTGGACCTCCCAGTACCAGACCTAGGCAGGAAAGAGAGGACAGGAAGAAACAGCAGGTGAAGAAGACCAGGAGGGAGGGAGGAGGGGACAGACTCCACCCTGGGATCAAAGGCCCTGGCACCTGCAGTGATGTCACAGAGCAGCAAAACCTGGCCACTCTCTGCAGCTACTCTCTGCTTCCGGGGCTTGAGGATGGAAACAGGTTGGGGGGTGGCTGTCGACCTTTGACCTTCGGAGAAGGCAAGCTGATAACCAGTCTCCTGCCAGGCTGGGAACCAAGGCCCAGGGGGGTGGTTATTGGCAGCTGGTGCATGGGCTGATGGGGCAGTGGGACACATTGGCTGATGGTCCAGGAGCTCAAGATGCTTCTGTGTGCTACAGGATATCATCTGGATGGAGCTCCTCCAGGAAGTGGGGTGCAGTGGCATATGCCTGGAATCGAACTCATAGCCTTGGGTTTACCAGGCAGGTGCTGTGCCCTTGAGCTACATCCACAGCCCCTGTGCCCCTTTTAAACCCCCCCCCTTTTTTTTGTCTTTTTCCTTTTTATCGGTACTGGGGATCGAACTCACGACTGCCTGCTTGCAAGGCAGGCGTTTATGCGCTGAGCTGAGTCCCCAGCCCCCTTTTTCCCCTTTTTTGAGACAGGGTTTGGCTATGCAGTTCAGGCTGGTCTAGAGCTCACTTTGTAGCCCAGGGTTATCTCAAACTTGGAATAATCCTCCTGCCTCAGCCTCCCCCAGTGCTGGCATTATACCCATGCACTATCACGCCTGGCTAAAAACTTTCGTTTTGAAACAAAGTCTTGCTTGAGTTGTTCAGGCTGGCCTTCAAGTGTGCAATCTTTCTGCCTCAGCCTCCGAGGTAGCTGGGGTTCCACTGGTTTTATTGATTAGTTTCAAATCCACCCATGCTGGCCTAGTAAACAGCCTGAGGAGGAGGGGAGCCAGGCGGGCAGTGAGTGATGCCCAGATGGCTCTGCTCACGCCAGCCTTGTGACCAGGTGGGAGCTGTCCGTGTCTTGAGTGCCTCCTCCTGTTGCAGAGGGAAGGGATCATCTTCCTTACTAATTTAATATTTCAAGCCCAACTTCGTCAGTGCACTTGTGAGAGCAGTCACTTGTTTGAAAATTTGTTCTTTCGGTGCTGGTGCTCGAACCCACGGCCTCATGTATGCTGGGCAAGCGAACCATGGAGGAGCTACCTCCTCCGTGCTTTTTCTTGGCCCTTCTTTTTTACAGTTTTATCACTTTTTTTTTTTTTTTTTTTGGTCTTTTTTCTTTTTACCGATACCAGGGATCGAACTCACGACTGCCTGCTTGCAAGGCAGGCGCTTATGCCACTGAGCTAAATTCCCAGCCCCAGTTTTACCACTCTTGACCCTGCTGGGTAAGCAGCCCTCCCGGGAGCCCAGAGCACAGAATGACTGTTACCAATGCGAGGTCCTGTGTGACTCCTCCTGCTGGCTCGTATCCTTTGGCAGCCTTAGGTTTCCTGAGCGCTTTCACCCACAGGCTCTGTGCCCAGCCCTTCGCAGGTGCAACCTCGCGTCATCCTTTCCAGGCGTCACCCTTTCCTGTCCCCGCTCGCACGTGCTGCTGCGACCTCCCCGAGGGCGGCGGTGGGAGCAGTGACTGTGGGAGCAGTGACTGCCCATGGGTTCCAGGCTGCGCTGGGGAACCTCCGCGCTCTGGTGCCTCCCGCCCCTTGCTTGAGCCCTGCTGGGCTCCGCGGTGGGGATGGGGTGGGGATGGGCGGTGACGTCTCCCTCCAGGCTTGCTGTCCCAATGCGCTGGCCGGGAGCCAGGCCTGGAAACTGCGCTGCGCTGCGCTGAGCTGCTTGCCGAAAGAAAGAGCCGAAGCCAGCAGAGAGGGTGGGGAGGAGCAGGAGCAGGGCGGAGGCGCAGGGGGAGAGGAGCCCGCCTAGCAGCTTCCCGGAAGCGCCCTGCGACCCCGACCTTGGGGTGCAGCCCTAGCTGCTGTGCAGTGAGGGCAGTGTGGTGGGGGAGCGTGCGGCCCCTCAGCCACCAGCCCCGGCCCTCAGGTGCCCAGAGGCCAGCGCAAATCACTCAAGGCGGCCTCGTCTCCCCTCTCAATGACGTTCCGCGAGGTCGGGTTAATGTGAACACGAGGAAGCTCAAGGGGAAAGTAAGTCACAAAAGGGCAGCGTGACAGCGACCTCTGGGGGTCTGGTGGGGAGTGCAGGGTGGCAGGGCCAGAGAAGGGCACACAAGTGCTGGCTGCTTGGAGTAAAACAACTCTAAAGGGATTCACCGAGTCCCTCCTGTGAGTCCAGGAGCCGTTGCTATGTCCTGTCTATTGGGCCCTGCTTAGGCTTCTGCACTCCAGAATCCGGTGACCTGGATTTGTTCATCTATGTAGCAGTGGAGAAGTTCAGTGTTCCGTGTGTAAATGGGGAACTGGCAGGACAAGTGTGACTGTACTGTGTCACGTGAAAGGTTTCACTGCCAGGTGTAGTGGTACACAGCTGTAATCTCGGCATTCTGGAGGCTGAGGCAGGTGGATCACCAGGAGTTCGAGGCCAGCCTGGCTCATATAGGGAGACCCTGCCTCAAAAAACAAAGCAAAAAATTCTTGCCTACACAATAGTAAGTACTTAAGAGCCATTCATTCATTGTCACAGTTTAATTTAAGGCGTTGAAACATAAATATGTGGAATATTGAGCAAGAATGTATCACATCAGAAAGCAGTCATAGAAGTGATAAGGTGAGGACGGTTAGGTAATCATGTTATAAGTTACCAGTTGCTGCAGAAATTCAGAGGAGGGAGGAAGAACTTCAGCCCAGATGCCTGGAGTAGGTTTCATGGAGGAGCTGGGATTTAAGCTGGGCTTCAGAGAAGGTAGGATCCCAACTGGACAAGCGTGTGGACAGAAGCCAGGGGTGGGGAGGACAAGTTCACTGATACCCTAGTGTCGCTGCTAGGAGGTCCTCTCACGCAGTGATAGGACCTTGGAGGCCATGTTTCCTCTGTGCATTTTAACCGCAGAGCACGATTGCAGATGCTGTTTCCTGAGAAGGCTGGGCATGAACAGCATGGCTTTTTTCAGCTGCACTGGCAGGGTCATGTTCCCCGAGGCTCTCGTCCATTCTCTCCCTGCCTCTTTGGGCTTCAGTCTTCTCAGCCCCAATTCTGTCTCTGTCTCACTCTCAAGTACTAGCTGCCATCACTGGGTCTCTATTCCTCCCTAGAGCAGGACAGGTAGCTCTGGACACTACCTACCTACATTAACTAATTAATCTATTTATGAGCAAAAAATAGTGGCTAATGCTTGTAATTCCAGCTAGCTACTCAGGAGGCCGGGGCAGGAGGATCAAAAATTCAAAGTTAAAAACCAGGCGTCATGGTACAGGCCTATAATCCCGGCACCCAGGAGGCTGAAGTAGAAGGATTGTTGTGAGTTTGAAGCCAGCCTGGGCTACCAAGTGAGTTCAAGGCCAGCCTGAACTGCATAGTGAGACTGTCGCAAAAAGATAAAAAAGAAAAATTCAAAGCTAGAGCCGGATATGTTGGTATACACTTGTCTCCTAGCACTCTGGAGATTGAGGCAGGAGGAACACCTTGAGTTTGAGGACAGCTATGGATACATATTTCAAGGCCAGGCTCAGACTCAACTACATAATGGGGCCCTGTCTCCAAAAAAAAAAAAAAAAAAAAGCTCCGGTTTACTCTGGGCAACTTAGTGAGACCATCTCAAGGCTGAGTGTAACTCAGTGGGACAGCACTTGGGTTGGACTTGTGAGGCCCAGAGTTCAATCCCTCGTACTGCCAAAAAAATAAAGAGAATAGGGGAGGAGGAAGGGAAAGGAGAGGAACTAAATAGGAGCCTTTGGGTGATGTTACCTAGCTGTGGTGGGGCAAATCTTTTATTTTTCGCAGTGCTAGGACTAAACACGGGCATCACACATGCTAGGCAAGGATTCTATTTTTTTTTTTTTGTCTTTTTCTTTTTTATCGGTAACCGAGATTGAACTCAAGACCACACCGCTTATGCCGCTGAGCTAAATCCCCAACCCCATAGGCAAGGATTCTTACTGGTGAGCTATGTCTCTGGCCCTTAGTGTGTGTGTGTGTGAATTTTTCATCATCCTAGTAACAAAGAACATTCCTTACTTCTAAGACAAAAACCCTAATCCCAGAAGCCTCAGTAACAGAGGTGGGGAGGTCGGGAAGACAGGGCAATGGCACCACAAGGAAGTGCACATGCCCAGTGTGCTCAGGGCCTCAGGCCCTGCTGCATGGGGAAGGGCATCCCTGTGTAGGGGGAAGGGGATGTGGCTCAGCCCTGGATGGGGCGACATCCAGGGTTTTACCCCTTCCTCTGCCAACCGTGCAGCTGAGGCCAGACGAGCCACAGAGCCTGGTCCAGTGTTGTCATTTCCAGCCCTGGCTTCCTGCCTGTCACCTTCCTGTGTCATGTTTGGGAGCATCTCCATGGCAGAGGGCTTTCCAGCTTCACTGTATATCTTTTTTGTGTGTTTTTCTTTTTTTGTCTTTCCTCTCTGAGTTTCCGCCCTGGAGTGGGAATACTAAGAAGCACTGCTTTTTACAGGCCGGGTTCCCAGTGCCTCTTGGGGTCATAGGGACAGAGCTGCTAGGGCCAGGAGGAGGACGTGGCAGCTGGGTCGGCAGGGGCGGGTGTCACTCCCAACAGGGTCCTGGGAGAAGGGGCACAGCATTTCCTGGAGCTCGGT